CCTTAAAAACTCATCAAATATTGGAAAATCCATCATGTTTAAAAATCCAAGAAAGCTCATTCCATAGATTTGTTGGTTTATTTATTAAAAATCCTTCTCCTTAAATGTCGCTTTCATTAACATTTCCTTATTTTTCCTTTATTTAAAAAAAGCTTAAAAATATAAATGAAATCCAAATTAAAAAATTGTCAACACGCCTTTCCATCATTTCAAATCTTTATGTTTCATTCTTACCGATATTTGTGTATTTGTACTTTAAATGTCTTTCATCGAAAATTATACAAAAGAAGTAGGAAGAAAAATTTGGAATGCGTGTGAAAAAAGGCAAAAATGGCTTTTGTTTGTGTCAAAATGAAAATAGTATGAAGAAGGTGAAATTTCCATAAAAAATTCTTTCATCGTATTTCCATAGTTATGTAAAAATGCGGAAGAAAGAAAAGTGTGGCTTGGCACCTTGTGAGTTTGTGAATTTTTCCATAATGTTTTTTATTCTTTCTGTGCCAACTTCTTTTTTTTTGAGCGCGGTTTTTCAAATGAAGATATATTTAAAGAGAAAACTGAAATACAGCAATTTTAAAGCTAATACTCAAATAAATTGAAGCAAATTAAGAAATTTCTTACCAAGGGGAAGGGATTAGTTATAAAACTCCCCCTTCCCAGACTACACTTATTCAGACCTAAAATATTTGAAAGCTTAAATTTTGCGAGAACTGTTGACAGGTCATTTAAGAAAGGCAAACTCAAGTAATCTGAGCTTCAGCAGATTCTTTTATGAAAATTTGTTATTGGATTAAAAAAAATATCCTTCAATATTACTTCCAAAATTTCTGTATTTAACTATTTTTGTTTACATCCTTCATTCTCCTCCTTCCAATAAATAAAAATATAAAATTCCATAAAATTCAATCAAATAAAAATTTATTTTTAAAAAACACAAACAAATCTCTAGCGGCTGAATATCTCTTACGACTTTTTAAATTAAAATTTCATACCAAGTTTCACAAAAATTCATGAATAAGTTATTGAAAATTTTCTGTTTTTTATTCCAAACATCAGATGTGGAATATTTTAGTAACAAACTTAAATTATATTTTTAGGAGCTTTAAGTAAAGGAAAAAAGTTCAAGTTCATATTTTTATGAAGGCACAAAAGCGCAAAAAGTTGCAAGTTTAAGTTCATTAAGTCTTAATCTACTCAAAAAGATCCATCAAGATAAGAACAAGAAAAATGGACTTTTAAAATTGTGAACTTGAAACTAAAATGCTTGAGGACCAAAATCGCTCATTGCAGTGAATATAAAAAGCTTTGTATCGTCTCTGACAGCAGGAAGTCTTTTGTGCAGTTTATTATGGATATTTAAACGTTTTAAAAGTGTTTTGCATATAATTTTAATTTTTTTTTCTCAAAATAATTTTAAAGCTTTTAAAATTGCTTTAATATTCCTAAAAATAAATTCTTTTAAATATGAAATATTGCTTTATTACGTGTTGAAAAAAAGATCTATTAAGTTTCATATAAGATAATATTAGCAGCATTAAATGTTGTTGAAAATAATTTGTAAAATTGTGAAAATTAAATTGCCACATGTGCTTTTACAATTCATATATGTGACTACATAGCAAGTCATAAAAGCCACCAACTAGCGTAATTTGGTACTATTAGCTCTAGATTTAAATTTAATAATTTCAGCAAAGTTAATTCTTAAAGACTGAGCTTATTTATTTAATTTTGTGATTTCGTTGTCAAAGCATAAATATTTGAAGATGGATATCCTTTTTTATGACAAGCATATTTTGAATAATGATTTGAATTTCAGCTTTTACATTAGCACACAAGTGTAAAAGCTGAAAATAATTTCAGTTCCAATGCTTTATAATACAAATTAATAATATGTAAAAAGCTAGAAATTCGCTAGAGATTTGATTCGTGCTAATTATATAAAGTATAAATAAATTTTCAATGTTAAACTTTCATTGTTCTAATTTTGTAAATTTTGTGCACTCAAAAAAATAAGTAATTTTTTCATTAGAAATAAAAAAAGTTTTTTGTGTTTCGCAAGTCATAAAAAAACCATTTATGTGTAAAATAATTTTAATCAACCCCATCTCATTTACCCATATGCAGTTATTGTTGTTTTTATATATATTTTTTTCTTTCCATCTTCTTTTATTCTTTCTGTACTTATTTGGCTTTTTATTTTGCCTAATTTACTTAAGTTCGTCATGTCACAATAGCAAAAAAAAAGAAATGAAATAAATTACATAGCATAAAAATTTACACAATACCCAACCATCATGACTATCGCATTCCTCTTGTAAGCACAATCAACTACGTCTATAGGAAATGATCCTCTTCCTGAATTTTTTCAACACCTTAATTTATATGAGAAAATAATTCTCGAGTTTTCACATACATCACTCTATCCATTTGCATATTTTTCATTCAAACTTCCTTCATTTACACGCCAATACAAACTTATTATGTGAGAATTGTTCTTTCTCTTCTTTCTTCTTTCTATTTTCATTTTCCTCATAAAAATGAAAATTTTTTCTTTCCATAAAAACCACAAGAAATGTAAAATAAAATTACATACTCAGAAAAAATAAACAATATTCAAGTAATGCTTAAATGCTTAATGCTCACGCATATCTTATTTATATACATATCTTGCTACTTACTTAGTCTTCTTCTGCTAGTTTGTTTTCATTTTTTTTGGACTCAGGGTTGAATTGGTTTTAAATGGGCTTTAGCTATGAACAAGCAGGAGTAAGGAGGTGCAACTGTGGCCAACAATTTTCAAAATCTGACTTAACAGTTCCACATTGTTGGGGGGGTGGGGGGAGGGGGTGTCGTAGAACATCTGACTTTGTAAATGAATTTTTTTTGAAAATAAAAACTCAATTAGTCAATTTCAAACCTACCAAAAATGACTCTTTTCCATCTTAAAGTGCCAATATAAAAAGTTTAAATAACACCGAATTTACAAAAAAAAATAAATAAAATAAACTTTCGTTGCTCAATAAATCTTCCACATTCAGCCAAAAGTTATTATCCTAAAAATTGTTTTCCTCATAATTTTAACCAACTGCTGTTACAGCATAAAGTATTACTTACATACTTTTTACTTCTTTCTATTTATGAGAAGATGAAGAGATGAAGAAGGAAAAAAATGATGATAATCATCATGAGATGGGATTCTTTCGAGGGGGGTTTGTGGAAGCAAATTTTTATTACTTTTTAACTTTTTGTAAGGTTGTAAAAAAAATTGAGTGGGATTTGAAACTTTTGAATGACCTTTTGGATCATTATTAAGACTTTTTTTTGTTAAAAATGTCTTGAATGGAGAATCAGGGGCAAAGCCAGGAATTTGAAGAGTGTGGGGGGGGGGGTCAAAAAAATTTTATATGGAAAATAAAGAGGGAAGAGGGGGATTTTTATGATTTTTTTTTATAAAACTCCTAGCAAAATGAAGAAATTTCTGTTAACGTCGGAGGATTTGTCCCCTTTTTACGCGCCTGAGGGGAACAAAATTGTGAGAAAATTGAGTTTGTTCTTAATTCACGTTAAACTAGATTTCTATGATACTTTTAAGTTTTAAAACTTAACTCTAAACTTAAATATTATTCATAAGATTTTTTTGTTCTCAATTTTTTTTGTGCTTACATTAAATTAAACAACCTCCAATACTACATACATATTCTCTTATGATCCTCAAATTCTCTTCATTTTAACTTATTATTCACTGTCTCTTTTCAAACTTATTCTTTCATACTTTTTATTTAATTAAATTATGCGGTGAACATTCACGAAAGAAAATTACCAATTTTAAATAAATTTACTCCTTTTATAAGGAAGTGAAATAAAAGTTTTTTTATGTTTTATTTTCATTATTTGTGAAAGTATTATTTTTGTATATTGTATGATATAAATAAGGCTTGAAAGTTTCAGAATTGAGTTTTTTCAAAACTTTCCGATACAGTCTCTAAAAAAAAATAAATTTTGAAAAAATTAAAGTAAATCCCGAACAGACAAAGAGCATGCTCTCAATGAGTATGCTCACTTAAATGTACTGACTGAGTTAACTCGTGAGTATACTCAGCTATTATATTTTAGTGAACATACTCATTGAGAGCATGCTCTTTGTCTGTTAGGGAATCCGAGATTGATAAAATGTTCCCATGCAATAATTTGGCTCAGGTTGACATGATGGCGAAGCTGATGCTGGAAATAAGCTGAATAAATAGGACTGTATCGCTACGATATGACTCGTGGCAACCTTTTGTTACGTTCGTGGCAACTCCAGTCATATGACAGCCATACAGTGGTATTTAATCAGCTTCTTACCAACATTAATTCATCTTAATATCGGCCCTATCCTCATCGATAATCTAGTACTTTGGTAAAAATTTATTAGTTTCGATTGAAATTATCAATCAAAATACTGTTTTGAAGCCTCCAAGCCAACAAATCGTGAAGAATTGATATATTAAAAATTTAAATGTGTATGTATGTGTGTGTTCTTACAAAACGAAAAGAAGCGATGAGACAATATATTATTTTTCTTTTTCTTTCTTTTTCTTCTTTTTTTCTTCCATATATTACAAAAATCGCCACATTTTTTTCTGTTTGTCACCAAACCATAAATCTACCACCAACCACCAAAAAAAAAATAAAATAAAATTATTAATCGTTTCAAAAAAAATCACCATCGTTCTATCTCGCGTCAAAAAAAATTGTTTCCTGTTTGCGATTTCATACTTTTTTCATCACTGAAATGGATTTTTCACAATATCACAAAATTTATTTCATGATTATCGCAATGAATTTATTTTTCTTCAAAATGTTATGCAAAATTTTATTAAATTTTTTTTAATCTTTGAATGAATTTTGGTCAATACCAAAATTTAACAAATAATTACGGATAAATTTTGTGGATTTGCAAAAACAACATCTTTAAATTTTTTTTAAAAAAATCCACGTTTGGTACGTAAAATTTAAAGATTTCACGATGAAGAACATGCAAATTTATTAAATTCAATGTGGCTAACAGCAATCACTTTTTTATGTGTCGGATATGGTGATATTGTGCCTAACACGTACTGTGGCCGTGGTATCACGCTGACATGCGGGATGGTGGTAAGTAATTGATTTGAATGAGAATCGAAATTTCATTTTTTTTTTGTTTTGAATTTCTCAAATTTTGTTTGTGCATCAAATTTTTACTGTTTTGCGTTAAAAAAATGCATCAAAAATTTTTGTATAAGATACAACTGAAAAAAATTATTAACCGACTTTTTAAGAAAATTGGCAATTAACCGTTTTAAAAATACTCCACATCGATTTGGACTCAACATAATACTTCAAGATGAAAAATATTTCCTCTTCAATTTTTGGATGGATAAAGTTTTTTTAAAAAAATCCTCCAAAAAATTCACAAAAAAAATTCTTTCATTAAATCTCAGGTTTCATGACGACGAACATGCTAATTTATTGAACTCGATGTGGCTGATTGCAATCACATTTTTAAGTGTAGGCTTTGGCGATATTGTGCCCAACACTTATTGTGGTCGAGGCATTGCCGTTAGTACTGGTATAATGGTAAGTAATGAGGCAAAAAAGGGTTCAACTTCAATTTAAAAATTCTGAGTACTTATCAACGGATGAGGAGGCAACAATGTGAATTTTTATAACACAGCATTTTTTGTTTCATATTAATGAGAATAAATCCAATTCAGCTATGAAAATTTTATCATTTCTTATTTCCTATTTTGTCTGTTATAACAATATAGGGCGCCGGTTGTACAGCATTTCTCGTTGCATTGCTATCACGAAAATTGGAATTGACGAGAGCTGAGAAGCACGTTCACAATTTTATGATGGATACTCAACTTACAAAGCGGGTAAGAAAAATGATGGAATGATAATATTTTTATGTAGGACATAAATGATGAGTTGCGAATCAAAGTGGTGGAAATAAATGATTTAAAAATTATTTAAGTTTTTTTTCTGAAATTTCCGAAACAACATAAAAATATAGTCATTATAGCACCCGATTCTTTAATTTGGCAAAATTAAATTTCTGTTTTCATTTACCAACGTGCCTTTAAACAATGTTATTTGATATTTTTTACAATAAATCAATGAACTCAAGTTGCATAAATTTTTCAAAATATTTTAAGATCCAAATTTCAGCAATATAACAGACAAATAGATCCTCAAATATACATACAATGAAATCTGATATAATTTAAACATGTTCTGTGGCTATACGTGTATGTGATGTTGTGGTCAAAACTGTTGCTCCATTTACCACCTACTCCCAACTCATTCTATTTGTTGATCTTTATTTATTTTTGCTCATTTTCATGTAGCTCAAAAATGCTGCGGCGAATGTATTGCGAGAGACATGGCTCATATACAAACATACGAGGCTAGTGAAGCGCGTTAATCCCGGCCGAGTACGAACACATCAAAGAAAATTTTTGCTTGCCATTTATGCGTAAGTGCTTAATGAAATTCTCATATAGTCTCGCAATATTTACATTTCTCTTAATATCACTCATATTGAATGCATTGTCATGTGTCGACCCACGTATACAATTTTATTCATTAACTCACGAACATGTAGATTGCGGAAGGTAAAGATGGATCAACGTAAATTAATGGACAATGCAAATACAATTACGGATATGGCAAAGACACAGAATACTGTTTACGAAATCGTATCGGATATGGCAACACGACAAGATGCCTTAGACGAGAGAATAACTGGGCTTGAGGATAAAATACAACACATACAGGTTAGCTAATTGTAGTGATTAATTTTTTTAAGCCTATAAGATTTATCTGGAAATCATAAACTCTTTTATTTTTACAAAATAAATTTTTATTTTCAGGACCAGCTAGAAACCCTTCCAGAAATCCTTTCCCGCTGTCTAACGCAACATCAAGAACGTGTCGATCAAAGACGGAACTTTCTCCATCCAGACACAGCAGCAACATTAAACACAGCATCAACAGGAGGACTGCCAGCACAAACATCGACAATAGGTTCGCCTTTATTTCCACATTCTAGGTAAGTGTAGTTGTTGCCACAAAAACAAAGAGAAACAGAATCACAGAGAAAAATTTGAAAAAAAAGTCTAAAATTTTCCTTCTTTTTTGCATCCAAAAATATTAAAAATGCAAAAATAAAAAAATTTTAAAAAAATGAAATTTTTAACTTTAATAAAGAAGAAAATAAAAATTAACGAGATGATTCAATGAGAAACTACACCTACACTTACAAAATTTTATTAATTAAAACAAGTTTCTTTTTTTTTACCTAATTTCGAGTTCTTATTTTTAATTTTTTTTAAATCTCAAAAACTTTCATTCTCATAACTTACTTTAAAAAATTCATTTAATTTTCTTTAATTAAAAAACATTTTTAAAATAAAAATTCGAAAAAAGCAAAAAAACACAAAGAAACTTTTTTAGATACGCTTTTCTTAACTACTTTAATCTTATTATTTAAAGCATGCCAATAATATAGTTCTGGCTTATCTATCTCTGTATGCCAACTACGCAGTGCCGTACGATATCACGAATTTCACAGTTCTTTTATTGAATTACCAAGTTAGTTTTTTATAAATAGCAATTTTTTTGGTAACTTTTGTCCTTTTCTCATCCTATACTGTTTGACATCCTGACCTTTATGTCTGATTTACCTGCCCTCCAAGATGTGTGTAACTTGTTTATGTCAATGTGGACGATAACTTTTTGATTTTTGCTCCTTTAAACCTCAAAATTCTGCATGTTGTAAACTTATGAATTGATTTAAAATTATTTTCAAAAATGTGAGCTTTTGAATAAAATCAACAATTTTTTAAGATGATTTTCTTCATTTTTGTCCTTTTTTTAAAAAAAGCAAAATAAATTCAAAATCACCTGTATTTACAAAAAAATAATTAAGCAAAATTTGAGACAAAATTTGATTTCACAAAAAATAAAAACTTTAAACTTAATAAAAATCATCAAGTTATCAACATTTGACAATTATTGAGTGAGCATTTGACAAATTTTAAACTCTGATTTCTTTTTGGTGCTTATGAGTGTTGCTTTTTATGTGAGATTTTGGTTGATTTTTTTTATTATTATTTATTGATTAGCTTGGATATTCTTAGATGCACAGTTGTGATTTGAATTGAAAATTGCTAACTTATTTAATTCTCTAATAATTAATTTTATTCGATTTTTTAAAAAACAAAAGTAAAAGAATTTTTTTACGAGTGACTTATTTCTGGTCTGATCTTCTTGAGCCTCTATGCACATCTTTATTCGAAACTACTAAAATATATTTTAAAAGTTTTCCAAATTTTACTCTGAAAATCCTTCATTCTATGAATCATAATAATGCTATCTTTTTTGTGTGCTAATTCTTGAAACTGGTTTTGAATTTTCTTTATTTCTTCTCAAAGGCATCTTTTTTAAGTGATTTCTTCTAATTGTTGAAGTGATTTTTGAAGTTTTTGCTGACACCTCTTGTCTTAACTTAAAATTACGCAACATCTTTTAAAGCTTCAATTGATTTAATATTTTTATAAACTAAAATGGTATAAAAATTTCAATCGGTAAGAACTGAACTTTTGTAGCAATCATTTGGTTAACGAGTTCTAATTGAATCATTTTCGAATTTTGTCTTATATCATTTCCATTATGTGTGATGTAAGAAATAAAAGCTGCAATGCACCTGCTTTGTTCTTACGAAATGGTTCAATAACCAAGAATTTTTCTTAATATAAAATTCTTCAAACCAGCAATAATAGAAAAACATTTTTCTTCATATTCTTCAAACAGAAGTGTTCAATTTAGAGAGAGCAATTGAAGTGTCACTTGAGGGACAAATATGTGTTTCAAAACTTCAAAGTATTCAGAAGATAATACGAAATTTCATCAAAAGACAATGGGAGCTATTGTGTTCAATATTTCGATAAAATATTGATGTATATAGATTTTCAGACGCTAAATAAATGAACGTAATTACGAAAAAAAATGATTTAATTGTTTATATTCAAGAATATTAAAAGCAGACGTAAGAGGAAAGATATATCATGAAAGAATCATTTGGAATCATCTGGATTTTTGAAGATAAACTTAATCTGGAAATTTCAAGGAATTTTATATCATTTATTCTCGAAATCGCAACTTACGTAAATATGATTCGCTTTGCAAATACTTTAATTTCTAAAATCTTAAAAAATGAGGCAAAATCTTAATCTTCATAAAATTTGATTTAATTCCTTTTGCTTTTAAAATATTTCAAGAATATTCTCTTCTTAAATTTTTATATTTCTTACTTCTATGTCAACCATCAAATATAATTCTTTAAATTGATGCACACAAAATTATTAAAATCTTTAGATTAAAAATTTCTTATATTTATGTGTATCTAAGTATGAAAAGCTATTTATCTTGACAGAAAAATGTTTTATTAGGCTTTTGAAAAAACAATGTCTAAAAAGCTGTTTAATTATTAGTCAAACGGCATATTAGACCCCACCTCCCCTTTCGTGCACTTTTCATAAATTTATTAAGTTTTAAATTGAACTATCACTAAATCCCACACAAATTTATGTTATAAGATTCCGTTCACTTATGACGTAAATCTTGTATAGAAAAGGAGGATGGATCTGGTCCAAATCTTTTTCCTTGAACAGTCCTACCGACTTAATCTTAAAAACATTTTTCTGCTAAGATGATTTAAAAACCTTTAATTTTTTATAAGTTTAACTTACTTTCCACTTTCTTTATTAAAAAGTAATAAAAATAATCTCTATTAAATGTGTATGTCAATCTTAATGTGTATTAACCTTACTCTCTATTTCTGTCTTTCTATGATTTAACTTTTCTATTTCTGTGAGATAAACGTCTGTCATTTTTCCAACTTTTTTCCTTTTATAATTTTTATCTTCTTTCTCTTGACTTGTTTTCTTTTTTCCTATTACTTTTCTTTTGTATATTTCCTTAAAAAAATTTTTTTTAAATAAATGGAGACATAATCATGGGATGGATGATCTAATGAAAATATTTTTAGAAGCATTCCAACAAACACCACAACACAAACTTACCAATGGCCCAGTACAAGTAGTCCCATACTGCCACCAATATCCAGCAGAACACCTCATCTGATACCTGAAACTATGGCAAATAACACGACTAATTCGGTTGCCCATAATAATAGTACTAGTAATCAGAATCCGACATCAACATCACAACAGCAACACCATCTTTTTCATCATAAAAGTGCTGGCAGCTGAAGTGAACTTAGCCAGGAGCTTTCATTTACCGATTCATTTTGTAGTGATTTTAATTCATCTGTTGTTATTACAACAGCATCAGCATCAACAGCGGCATTTACTTTAGTCAGAACAGCAAGTAGCAAATTTACTCGTCAAAGAGAACGCGTATCACGTAGCTTAGATAAGTATTAAATTAAATTATAATTCATGAATGATCAAAAAAAAGTCAGTTTTGTCTCACACTCAATTATTTTAATAGTTTTTATCGAATTTTTTATTATAATTTATTATAAATATACTAGATTTAAAAATATATATATTATATAATTTCATGAGGAACATTAAGACACACACTGAGCGTTGAGGAAATAAGAAGATTTGTTGATCGCTTGACTGAGAAATAAATACTTAAATGAATGCTAAATTCGCACTGTTAGGGGTGCAATTTAATTTATTTTAATAAAAACATCAATTTTATTTTCGATTATTTCCTAGGGCGTATATAAGTGTTGTCCAAACTGTGTGCCGCGGCACACTAGTGTGCCGTAGAATTTTTTTGAAAACACCTCGAACCGGTTTTGGACATGACTTACTATCAAGGTGTGCCGTGACTCAAAAAGTTTGGAGCACTGCACTGGAGATGCTTATAATTTCAACATGTCAAAATTGTCACAATTTTAATTTTAAAAAATTGAAAAAATTAAAATTACGAATTTTAAATGATTTTCATATAAACATTTTATATTAAAAGAAAAATCAGCAAATCTCATTTGACGTTCGATCAACAATCTTCTATTTTTCTCATTCACTTAAAAAAAATCTCATCAAAACCATACGTTTTAAATCCTTTTATTAAGACTTACTATTTATTAGGACAAAAATAATAAAAACAAAAAAAAATTCTCTCTGACATTGCCTATAAAATAATTTTTAATATTAATGAAAAGAACAAAAGAATCTCTTTAAGTAAATTCGAGAGTGATGGCAGTAAAAAATACACAAATGATATTAGTAGATGAAAAATGAATAGAAGAAATGATAAATCCCCCAAAAAAAAAGTTTATGATTGAAAATTTGTCTCATATAAATTTATGGGACTGAAATATTAAAAAAATGATAGAAAGAAATTCTTTTGGAAATTTCAGGGTCAGCTTAAAGTTTCTTACTTAGAAATCAAAATAATAAAGACACAAAAAATATATGTAGAAATAGACATACAATGAGGATGAGGATTAGGAGATGTTTTTCATATAAGAAGCAATTAAGATCAAAGGTTAGATTTTAGAATTTTACGTGACACAAACATTAGTTTTGTCAATCTTTTCATTTTTACAGAGCTCACTAGATGTCAAAATTTAATACTAAATTGAACTTAATGCATTTTATTGAAAAATATCTTTTACCTTCTCTCATTGCAATAAAATCAAGAAATAACAATAAATTCAAAAGATTTTAATTTTCATCTTAAAAACCTTAGATCAACTCCAATATAATCTCCCCACTAGACTAGTTTGTACTTTTCTAATGAAGTACCAAATCGTTGTGACTTTTTATATGCAAATTGAAAAAAAAAACCTTATAGATGAACCAAAAAGAGAAATGGAAAGCTTTTAATGAGCTTTTAAATTGTTATTAGTTTAATTGTCCAAAAACTGCTGCAAGTGAGTTGATTAGACTAAATCTACCTATATTTGCATACCAATTATTTTTTTCAGTCTAATGAGATTTGATTAGGAAAATTAATTCTATTGGCCAACAAAAATTAAATAAAACGAAAGCTTTCATTTGTTTGAGAGAAAAAGTTTGCTGAATCAACATTAATTTGACTTTTAGCACGAACATCACATTATAAACTAAATTGTTACGATAATTTTTAAAAAATAAAAATTTGAATATTAATTGATAAAAGTTGAAATTAATTTGAAACTAATGAGGAAATTTTTTAAAGGTAGAAAAAGTCAATCGTCTTTGGCATTCTTCGACTTTTTGGAATTTT